TCCACCAAATTTTAAGGGGGTGGTTGAAGAAGCTTTAGTTGGAGCTTTTTGCTTGGGAAAACTACTTGTTCCTGCTCGTTTATTAAGCCAGATATGAGAAGAAAATTGAGAAAAAAAATTCATATTCTAATGGAAAATGTAATAAAATGAGTTTTAAATTTTTTAAAATTGTTTAAAGATTAACGTAATTCAGGATATTGAATAGAATACAAATTTCAGTACGAATTTATAGATTTTGAAATATGTTCAAAATTATAAAACACAAATTTTTAATAATAATTATTCAAATTTCTTTTATATCTCTCCTTGTATCTGATAGAAGACAGGTCTACATTATAATGAATTATTCTGTGCGGACATCGGATGCCGTATGGAGTGAATCAGATCACGTCACGTCACTCATTTGCTGTGTATGACAGCTGTGTATCCATTATGATGTGGTACGTTCTGATTAGCCTCCGAATAATCCGATGTCCGCACAGAATAATTTCTTCTTCATTAGGCATGTAATAGTTGAACCTTTTTTATTTATTTAAAAGTAGAAAATTTATTGCAAAAGAATACTTTAAAGAGTTGATCTATATTGGTCATCCACTTTGAGCCCTATTTTTCACGCTCAATTCCATTGATTACGTCTGATTGAGAAATATGTCATCATATATCTGTAAAATTGACATTTGTTTAATTTATTTGTTTTGTGGTGTGTTATGTAATATATACAATAAATAGGGATTTCTTAAGAAAATATGCTTTTGCATTATTTTTTTGTTTTTTTCTTCAATCTTTGGATTAATTATTCTGTACAGACGTCCCGTCCAAAGACCAACCAGAATGCGTCGTGTCACCTTGTGCTCAGTACAGTTGACGTGATGCATTCTGGTTAGTCTCCGGACGGCGTTTTACGTTCGGTCTCCACACAGAATAATTTCTCTCGTCTTTGTAGCATATAACGAAATGTTCTCCTTGTAGTATGAATGACTCTTATTTTATTTATAGGAAAAATGATCAAAATGGTACCTTAACTCTTTATGAAAGATCAAAATGATCTTCAATTATATTAAAAGATTATTTTAGTCCTATAATTTTTTCATATTCTAATGGAAAATGTAATAAAATGAGTTTTAAATTTTTTAAAATTGTTTAAAGATTAACGTAATTCAGGATATTGAATAGAATACAAATTTCAGTACGAATTTATAGATTTTGAAATATGTTCAAAAATATAAAACACAAATTTTTATTTAATAATTATTCAAATTTCTTTTATATCTCTCCTTGTATCTGATAGAAGACAAGTCTACATTACGATGAATTATTCTGTGCGGACATCGGATGCCGTATGGAGTGAATCAGAGCACGTCACGTCACTCCTTTGCTGTGTATGACAGCTGTGTATCCATTATGATGTGGTACGTTCTGATTAGTCTCCAAATAGTCCGATGTCCGCACAGAATAATTTCTTCTTCATTAGGCATGTAATAGTTGAACCTTTTTTTATTTATTTAAAAGTAGAAAATTTATTGCAAAAGAATACTTTAAAGAGTTGATCTATATTGGTCATCCACTTTGAGCCCTATTTTTCACGCTCAATTCCATTGATTACGTCTGATTGAGAAATATGTCATCATATATCTGTAAAATTGACATTTGTTTAATTTATTTGTTTTGTGGTGTGTTATGTAATATATACAATAAATAGGGATTTCTTAAGAAAATATGCTTATTTCCATTATTTTTTTGTTTCTTCTTCAATCTTTGGATTAATTATTCTGTACAGACGTCACGTCCAAAGACCAACCAGAATGCGCCATGTCACATTGTGCTCAGTATCGTTGACGTGACGTATTCTGGTTGGTCTCCGAACGACGTTCTACATTCGGTCTCCATACAGAATAATTTCTCCCGTCTTTGTAGCACATAACGAAATGTTCTCCTTGTAATATGAATGACTTTTATTTTATTTATACGAAAAATGATCAAAATTGAAACTTAACTCTTTATGAATGATCAAAATAATCTTCAATTATATTAAAAGATTATTTTAGTCCTATAAATTTTTAAAATGAATCAAAATAGTCTTACCGTGGAACTAATTTAGTTCCTCTTTAAAAAATTGAGAAACTAAAATGATCATTTAATATAATTGAGAATCATTTAGTCTTTCATAAATAGTCAATAACTATCTCGATCATTTTCTCTTTATTTATATAAAATTTATTATAGAGGTCATTTTGATGAAAATTTATACAAATTGCATAATTATTAATGATCAAAACTAAAACTATAGTCTAATTTGGTTGTTTGTAGCTCTAAAATATAATTAAGAAATAAAATTATTATTTTAAAATAAATATTTAAATTTCTGGTGATAAAAATCAGTATAATTATAAGAATCAATGATGAAAAAATTTGAAACATTAAAAAAAAAAAATGTAGGATGAGATATAAAGTGGAAGTTTGGAACTGAGTTTCAAGACGTTGGTTTGAAAGTTGAACACAGAGGACCACACAGTTCTCTTTACCGAACGCATTCCCAGCAAGTCTATGGTGGGTCAACAAAGATTTGGTAAAGCTATCGAGCTACCTGATTTACTGAATTGCCTATCAAATTTCAAATCCAAATCAACAGTGTCCCCATAGAAAAAAATTGTAGCAATGATGGCCCTTTTCATTCCTTTTAAATTTCTAAATAAGGAGGTGATGATATGTAATAAAAAAAATTATGAACTGTGCATTGCATGAATTTGTATTAAGACTTTTTTTTTTTATAATCATGCTCTAGCCGTGAAGCCACGTGTCATCAATCAGACTGAGTTGCTTGCGTATTTTATTACTAGAAATGTAGTGGTACGTAGGGGTGTCAATTCGAGTCGGGTTCGGGTCGAACCCGAAACTGACCCGACACTATTCGGGTTAACTTGAACCCGACCCATTTTTAAAAACGGGTAAGGTTTCCGGACCCGAACCCGACTGGGTCAACCCACCCGACACCGAAGTTGACCTAAAATTGCTAGTTTTCAGGTCAAAATCGGGCCAATCTTCAATTTTTGGGTCAAAATCGGGTAAAAAACGGGTGAATCTCAGGTTTCTGAGCCAAATAGGAGTTTTTGTGTCATTTTCGGGTTGCTAGGTCAACCCGAACCCGACCCGTTTCGGGTCCTGATTAACCCAAACCCGGATTTTTTCGGGTCGGGTTCGGGTCATGTTTCGGGTCGTGTCAAAAATTGACACCCCTATACTGTACGAACCTGTATTGAGGCTTTGTTTGTGACATTTTTTTTATTGCTTTTTAAAGCAATTTTTTTAGTACAAAAGCTTCTTTAAGAAGCCGTACGAAAGTCGTCCCAGATGAAGCCTAAGACTAATATTTCATTTAGGATGACTTTATTACTATTTTTTAATACAAAAATAAGAATTTTTAATTAAAAAATTGCTTTAAAAAACATCAAGAAAGCAGTCCCAAACGGAGGCTAAATATAACTTTTAAATGTCAAATATATCACTGATTTTAATGTAAATCTAAATAACTCAAAACTTATATGGACTAAAACAACATCATGAGTACTAGAATTTTTTTTTTCTATGGAATGTTCATATAGTAAAACATAGTATAAAGCTTTGTTTAGGATGATTTTCTTATAATTTTATGAACCAGTTTTATAGTTCACACTTTTTTATTTAAGAATTTTTGTACTAAAAAGTTATTTTAGAAAGTAGTAAAAAGTCCATCTCAAATTATGCCTAAGGCTTCGTTTGGGACTATTTTCTTATTGCTTTTTAAAATAATTTTATAATATAAAAATTAAATTTTGTTATAAAAAATTACTTTAAGAAGCAGTAAAAAAATCGTCTCAAACGATGGCTAAATCTCAAAGCAAATTATCTTGACAAACGATCTAATTAATTTCATGCTTTGTTTTTCTCACGATCTTGTTTCCTCATTTTTCTTAAGAATCCTTTCACTTTATTTTGTTCATAAAATTATCTTAATTAGTTTAAATTGATTTAAATAATTTTTTAATTTTCATTTATTCCTATGGGATGCAACCTTAATATTAAAACTCATTCTTTAAAAATAAATTTGAAGTAGTTTTATTCATATTATTTTAAGTCTATAACTTATCTTTAATATTTCAACTTTATTTTTTCATTTGATCTAATATATGTATTTGATACTTTGATAGTGTCCTATGCGTGTTCATAATATCATTAAATTCTAATTGTAATTATTTAGTCACTAATAAATATCTATCCTTAATCTTTTTATTTTCTCTAATAGAATTATTTGTTGAGTTATCTTTTGTATTTTTATAATACACTCATTTTAATTTTTTATTTTTTTCAAACTAAGGCTTCGTTTGGGACGACTTTCTTACTGTTTCTTAAAGCAGTTTTTTAGTATAAAAATTGTATTTATTATACTACAAAGCTGCTTTAAGAAGTAATAAAAAAGCCGTCCCAAACGAAGCTTAAATATTAATAATATTTTCACTATGTGATATTTAAAATTTATGATGCCAAATTATAATTTTATTAAATATAACTTTTAAAATGTAAATATATTATTTGCATATTAAAAAATATGTCGAACAACTTTGTGATAAAAATGAATGCACTTGTCACATAGGTAACATTTTTTTTTAACCTTCAATTTAATTATAATTATTAGAATCTAGCAATTAACATGCTCAAACTCTTCCCTTTATGGTGAGAGCTAGGGAGTAAGTGAGCCGAGCCGGCTCGAGCTTGACTCGTTAATGAGCTCGTGAGTCAAGCTTATCGAGCCACTGTTTTGAGTTCGAGCTTGTATGTTAAATGAGCACGAGCTCAGGCCTGACTTAGCATTATTATTATTTTTTTAATTTAAGAAAAAAATTAAATGTTCATTATTAACTAGAGGCCGCTACCAAAATAACCGGTCACTGCTGCCCATCAAAATCCACTCCTATAAATAAACCTCAGTTCCCAAACCCCTCCGCCCAACCACCTCTCCTCCTCTCACAACCGCTTTCCTCCCAAAGATCCTCCTTTTACAGTTCGACGGCGATGACCAAAGAAACCGGAACCATCCGCCATCGCCTGAGCCGCTTCATCCGCGCGCCGCTTCGCCGGGCCCGCGACTACTACGTGCGCAGCATGACCGACCTCGCCGGCCGCATGCATTACGGCGCGGCGGCGGTGGGGATGAGCTACCCCTGCATCTGCGCCACCGAGGTGCCAAGGAGCTACAACTTAATAGGCGCGCAGATCTCCACCGTCGATGAAGAGCTCCGCGATCTCATCCGCTTCGCTTCTCGGCGGCGCCCGGATTTCGCGGCCGGTGAAGCGCCGCGACGGAGCCGGAGCAGGGCGGAGTGGCAGAGCGATTTTGTCGGCGAAGTAAGGGTGGGAGAGAGCTTGATCTTGCCTAGGAGGCGGAAGTACGCCGTTGGGGCGGTGGTGCCCGTGTGAAAGAGGGAAAACAGGGGACTTTTATCAACTTCCATGCTTCGAGTTCAAAAGCTTCTATGTTGTTTTCTTTTGAAGTATTTAAATTTCAAGTAAATTTGGAATGCATTGTAATATTATTCTCAGCCTTATTAATTCGTTCTCATCAAGTCATAATCTCCAAGACACCTTATGACAACCTAGTCTACTAAGGCTTGGTTTTAGACGGCTTTCTTCTTCACTTCTAAAACATTTTTTTAGTATAAAAATTTTTTGAATTTAAAATTTTTGTACTAGAAACCTGTTTTAAAAAGCAGTACGAAAGTTGTCCCAAACGAAACCTAAATACCTAGTGCCTTTCCCCTTCACCATTCTAACACATTGACGGAGGAGAATGAGTGAATTTCAAGATAATATAAATAATCATATGGAGATTCAAATAGATGCTCATCACATCTATGAAAGAAGCATAATTGTCATTCTAAATCATAAAATAGCTACAAATTCTTCATTCTTTTCTCTCTTCTACTCAGTATCTTTTGACCTATTAGAGTGGTGGAAAAAATATGTTTTATAAGGAGCATCACTTAGAGTCAAAGGCTAACGTTGGTGCTTTCAAGATATATTTTTAGCAAGCTGGCATGCCCACATCAATTTATAACACACTGATGGAGAAAGACGAGTGAATTTCTTCATCATTACATGTAATTTTGAATTATCATATTATTTTTAAAAATTAACATTTTATTGTAAGGATTACCATTGATAATTTATGTAATATTATTATATTGTAAAATAATAAAGTCATGTGAGCTAGACTTTTAATCCACAAGTCTACTTGCTATTTCATCATACCATTATCCAAAAATATATAATGTAAAAATAGTCAACATATGAAGCAGTCTATGTGGAATTCATATTATGTCTCAAATTTGTTGCATGAAAATGAATGTTATTTTGTCGGGAATTATACTTGGAGCTTCATGATAAAGAAATATATACTCAACGACTTCAAGTAGAAGAATGAAGCGAACTCAATAATGAATTATGCATTGGACAATCTTAAATTAGTAAAAAATATGAAAAAAATCAAATGTTGAACCAAATGCATGGTGTGGATGGCCTCCTTAAGTTTTATGATTATTGAAGCATTTATGACTCTTAGAATTCTCCTCATACATGTATTGGAAAAACAATCTATAAATACAAATGAAATATAAACAGAATGAGTTGATTTTAGGAATACCTTAATTGGTTTATAATATAGGCTAGAGTTTGTGGTTTTCTCCTATAATGGGCATGGTGGCTCAACTATAAAATGCATTAAAAATGACGATTGTATTTTCACACTTGATCACACACTCTACTAATGTTTATTGGCTTCTAAGGCTTTTTTCAAGTTAGTTACTAATTAATGTGAGCAAAAAGGAGGAGATTTGGTTCAATTTGGCCCTTTATTGTTTAGTAATCTTTCCATTTCCATATTTCCATTATAGTGTTTCTCTTTTTTGGTTTTTTTAGGCTATAGAAATTTTTCTGTCATTAGAATATTCATTATAGATTAGTAGATTGCCAAATGTAGGCTTTTGCGTAGTTAGTTTGAGGATTTGAATGATTTTTTGTGTTGCTTTTAGGATTTTCTTTCCTAAATCATCTTGAATAAATATAACAAAGAAACATATATGTGGCACCATAATTATGCCCAACTATTGCTGGCTTTTGGGAACTAATAAGATTTTAAAATCTAATCAAATATAATTGAAACAATGCAGAGGGTAATTAGGAGCTTAAACCAGAATTATGGTTGGCCCATAGTAGTCTGTAGACAATTCTAAAATGATTGATGGATTTAAAACTATGACTTGGAAGATCAATGGTTTTATCCTATGTCTGATAAACCTAAATGGCTTCTATGATTAATTTAGGGTCGATCCTTGTTAGCTTAGTCTATGTTATGGGTTAGGATTCTAGCTAAGCTAAGCTAAGGGCTCAACTTAGGAAATCATCATATAGTTGAATTAAACTCTTAAGAAGAATTGGTGATGATTGATTTTCATTTAATTAATTATACTAAGATTGGAACTAAGGTTGCATGGATCATTGTTAGTTTAGGCTAAAATATCAAGTTGTAGGTGTTGGACTCAATCAAGTGTAAATGGTCTAAATTGAGAATGATTGTTTATTTAAGAGAGTTAAAAGCTACTTGAGTTGAGTAGACCCAAACATCAAATGACATTTGAGAGTTAACAAATTCTGATTCCAATAGTATGGAAGATATATCACAAGTTTAGGAGTAAACAACTCATCGTTATTAAAAGATTTAATTTTTGAACTTAAGGGGTTTTTTTATGGAAAAAAGTAAGGCAAGGGATTGTTCATTTGGGGGAAACTTGTAATAGTCCCAAATTATTATTTTTTTAATTCTTGAAAATTGACTAAGGGAGCATTATGACACTAAGAGCTGAGGTGCCATGCTCTCAAATTTTCTAGGTTTGAGGGAGAGTAGCGACGCTGGGGTCTTGAGCCTCGTGACACTAGGTCAAAAAAAAATTATTTTTTAATAAAATAACCTAACGAATTTTTGTCAAATCACTCACCCCCTAAGTCTCCCCTCTTAATCCTTGTGCATGTCGAGGGGGGAAGGAAAGAGGAGAGGAGAGAGAAAGCAAGGATCATGCTTATATTTTTTGTCGCTCTAATTGTGAAAAGTGCTTTGATTGTCGTAAGTAACATTAACCATACGTTTGTTTTAAGTGATTTCATGTTTTTTCTATTTTATCCCTCTTAAAATTGTTAAAAATGTAATATGTCTCATTTAATAAACTTTTATTATGTAACTTTTGATATGTAATAGGTATCATGTAATATCAAAAATCTGCTCCAGGATCGTCCAGGACGATCTGGATCGTCCTGGGACGATCAGTGGAATGTTGCTCCAGAATGTGCCCAGATTTGCTCCAGGTGATTTTCTGTACATATCGTCTAGGCCGATTGAGGACATCGTCCGGGCCGATTGGCACTGTAGAAAATGTCGGCCTGAGAATAGTTCTGGGAACCGTCCAGGACGATCCAAATTGGTCTGATCGTCCTGGGACGATCTGGCGATCGGCTGGGCCGATCTGAAGATTATAAAGCTTATTTCAAGTCATTTTGAGGAGAGAGAAAATCATTAAAAACAAAAATATCAGCCGAGGAGAGAGAAAGTCGAGAGATTTTGGAGAAAAGTTGATTTTCGGACGACGCGGAGCCGTTTTCGTCCGAAGAGACTGTTCAGGAATTTGCTGTACGCAAGGTAAGGCACATTCCGCCTTTCTCAATTTTCAGAACCGTCGTGTTTGGCGGTATTTTCTGTCCGGATTTCGTTTCCGTTAATGATTTTCGTCCGTATCTTTTGATTGGTTCAGTTTTTACCGCGTAACTTTCTGTATATTGTTGACGTGCCGGGTGTGCACATTTTGATTATTTTCCGAAGATTTTTGTCCGGGTATTTTTGATTCGGCGGTGTTTTT